GGTCGGTCTATTTCAGGCTGAAAAAACGACTAAGTCCCATCGCCGAATGGGACTTAGTCTCTGCAGCTGAAATAAGGCTGAAAAAAACGGCTGAAGAAAAGACTAAGTCCCATCGCCGAATGGGACTTAGTCTCTGCAGCTGAAATAAGGCTGAAAAAAACGGCTGAAGAAAAGACTAAGTCCCATCGCCGAATGGGACTTAGTCTCTGCAGCTGAAATAATTTCCCATTTACTGAACCAAGTGGGAAATAGCAAGGCAGGCACAAAGGGTTTGCACTAGGTCTGGGGACACAGGGGACACCGTCTTAAAGGGGCCGTGTCCCCAACAAGTCTGGGGACACGGCCTTAAAGGGGCAGTGTCCCAATCTTCCTGATGTCCCAAAAAAGGTGTTTAAAGGGCCAGCACCCGTCACATAAAGAGTCCATAAGCCCCAATATGCCCACCGACAGTCTTAAAGGGCCATACACACCAAATAAAAGTGCATACATTTTCACAATCTCCCAGGGGCCATAGTCATGCGGGAGGAGGCTGGCAAGTAGGCTTCCCCACAACCCAGGGAAGCAGGGCAATATGCCATTTAAAGGGCCCGTTACAAATAGCAGTTTGTAACAAGGTGTCAATCCATATCTGCCAAGTGACCCGATGAAGGGGGACCAGTCCCTATTCTGCTCTGTGTCAGTGTGTACCAGGGAACCTTAGGACAGGTGTCAATCCATATCTGCCAAGTGACCCGATGTAGGGGGAACAGTCCCTATTCTGCTCTGTGTCCGTGTGCATCAGGGGCTCTGAGGACAGGTGTCAATCCATAAGTCAAGGTGTCAATATGTCATATGTCAGGTGTCAATCCATATTGATTGTGATTTAGGAATGTTAGGTGATTTCTGCCCTTTATGGATTAAAACCAGACTCTGTATCAACTGTGTAATTTTCCATGGGAGTTTTGCCATGGATCCCCCTCCCGCATGCCACAGTCCAGGTGTTAGTCCCCTTGAAACAACTTTTCCATCCCTATTGTGGCCAGAAAGAGTCCCTGTGTGTTTAAAATTCGCCTCCCCATTGAAGTCAATGGCGTTTCGGGCGGTTCGCCGGTTCGCGAACATTTGCGGAAGTTCGCGTTCGCCGTTCGCGAACCGAAAATTTCGGGTTCGCGACATCACTACTCGCTGCATGTGACTTACACAGCCTTCCTAAACACTTCCTTAAACAGTCATCTAATGTTTGCACTTCCTTATTGTAAATTCTGTTTAAGTTAGTCATTTTATATCTCATGCACATTTTAAAGTAAGATACACATTTTAAAGTAAGTAACATATGATTGAAAATGAAAACACTTGTTTTTCATGCAGGCTGTGTTAGTCACAGCGAGAGGTGTGGCTAGGGATGCATAAACAGAAACAAAGGTGATATAACTCCTAAATGGCAATGTCTTGAGCAGTATAACTTCAGAGGTGTGATCTATACACCAAAACTACTTCATTAAGCTAAAGTTGTTTTAGTGACTATAGTGTCCTTTTAACCTCTTAGTGACCAGACCGCTTTTCAATTTTCATCCCGTTAACGACCAGGGCTGTTTTTACATTTCTGTGGTGTTTGTGTTTAGCAGTAATTTTCCTCTTACTCATTTACTGTACCCACACATATTGTATACTGTTTTTCTCACCATTATATAGTCTTTCTAAATATACCATTATTTTCATCATATCATATAAATTACTTTAAAGAATTTATAAAATATGATGAAAACATGTAAAAAAAACATACTTTTTCTAACTTTGACCCACAAAATCTGTTACATATCTACAAATGCCAAAAAAACACCCATGATAAATAGTTTCTAAATTTTGTCCTTAATTTAGAAATACCAAATGTTAACATGTTCTTAGCGTTGTTGTTTTTTTTGCAAGTTATAGGGCAATAGGTACAAGTAGCACTTTGCTATTTCCAAACCATTTTTATTTTCAAAATTAACACTGATATCTGTCAGGAATTCCTGAATAACCATTAACATGTATACATTTTTAAAAGAAGGCAACCTAAGGTATTTAATTTGGGGTATTTTAACTCTTTTCATGCTCTTTTCATGAAACCATTTTGCCACCAATCTATACCAAATGTAATTATTGGTCATTTTTTTGACACACATAGCACTTTAAGAATACATGTACTGAGAACTTTAATGGTTACTGCCAAAGAACACCCCAATATGTGTTCAGCAACATCTCCTGAGTACAGTGATATCACCCATGTATAGGTGTGTCAGGTTTTCTGGGGGCTAAAAGACCTTATTTGGAGGGTCCACATTCCAGTTTTCCAACTTAAGCAGAAGTATAGAATAGGGTGTCGCAGTGGATGCGATATATTTGGATTTTGCCAAGGCATTTGATACGGTTCCTCACAATAGGTTAGTCTTCAAACTAAAAGAAATTGGTCTAGATGAATATTCTTGTTCTTGGGTAGAACATTGGCTTAAGGATAGAGTACAACGAGTTGTCATTAATGGTAAATTTTCAAGCTGGACAAAAGTGGTAAGTGGTGTCCCTCAGGGTTCTGTTTTGGGACCGCTTCTATTTAACATATTTATAAATGATCTTAAAATGGGCATTGAAAGCCATGTATCAGTGTTTGCAGATGACACAAAACTTTGTAAAGTAATAAAATGTGAGCAGGATATTGCCTTGCTGCAGAGGGATTTGGATAGATTGGAGGACTGGGCACTAAAATGGCAGATGAAATTTAACGTAGAGAAATGCAAAGTTATGCACTTTGGGGTTAAGAATGCACAAGCAATTTACACCCTAAATGGTAGTGAATTAGGGATAACCACACATGAGAAGGATTTGGGAATTGTTATAGACAACAAATTAGACAGCAATATGCAATGTCTGACATCTGACTGCTATTTTGAGATTCAGAAGAAATTTTTTTCTAGTTTGTTTACAATTGGAAGCCCTTCGAATAGGTTTTGCCTTCTTTTTTTGGATCTGCAATAGAAACATATCTGAAGGAAGGCTTCTTGAACTTGATGGATCTGGAATCTCTTTTCAGCTATGTGTATGTAACTTTGTAACTTGGAATAAGCTGGTCATCATGCAGCCATGTCCTCCTATTACGGGACATTTTAAATATAATGTAATTTACCCCATCAAACCATATATTTTTGAAAAGTAAACACCTAAATTATTTCAAATGGTATTTTAACACTTTCCATGCATAATTCTACCACCAGTCTTTTGTAAAACTTTTGGGTAGTCATTGTTTTGTGTTATTTTTTCTCTGTACTTTAGGCATGGATTCTCAGTTCCTGTTATGTGTTACTGACAGGATCTCCTGGTAGCAATTGCCCCCAGTGGTGTATCCTGGTTTTGTGCTGCCCTAGGCAGGACTAAGCTCCCCTCCCCCCGCGCCACCCCCACCCAACCCTTCCCCCCGCCCCACCTTCTAAATACACACACACACAGTCAGACAGACCCAAACACACAGTCAGACACACACACACAGTCAGACACAAACACACACACACAGTCAGACACATACACACACACACAGACACAGACACACACACACACACA